ACCCTATATAATATATACATTGAGAGAGAGAGAGAGAGAGAGAGAGAGACAGTTTTGGCTTCCAATTGTAGTGATACTTTCCAAACAAAAACAAGAAAAGGAGTATTAAGCGATCCGCAAAAATGGAAATAGATGGCCACCAAGGCACTTACTTTTGTTTGACGGGGGGGCCCACTTCCTATCGTTAAACGACAAAAAGCATTTGTGCTTCCCATCGTCTGCTTCAAGTTATTGCCTCGCTTGATTGTCACAGTTAGGCACCCAGGCAAGCAGTGTAACAAGCTATCAGCTCTCTCATGGAAGCTTGGCGGGCATGTCCTCATGAGAAGTTGCAGTATGGGAATGGCTTCAGCTGCGATCATGGCTTGTGCTTTGGCAACATCAATTGGCATTGTTGACCATGACTGTTTCAACAAGCAAAGGGTATCCAAGACAGATTCCTGAGCGGCTTCTGATCCAACCTTGAGAGCACCCACTAAGTGGGGAATGCATAGAGTGGCTGCCTCTGAAATGTGAAGCTTGGAAAAATTGGTGAAGATCACATTGATGGTTCTTAGCACCTCTGCATTTATGGTTGCTGTGGACCACAACTCCTTTTCCAAGGCAGCTGCCACAATGATTATTACATCATAGTAAGGGGCATGCATATAATTGATTGATTACGTAGAATTTGGATCAAATGAAGGCTTAGATGCAGGTAAAAAAATAGCTATCACATATCAATTAAAAAAAATGTAGCTATGACTGGTCCAAAATAAAGTATGCTTGGCAAGTATGACATCTATGGATGGTAACTTGGTAAGCATATCAAATATGGTGTTTTAATATGAGCACATGAATGCATACTGGAAAAACTCTAAAATACCAATCATTTTACAACTGCAAATGGAAACTCGTACAAGACATCAGATGGAAAAGAGAAACTTGTACAAGATCGGTCTCACCATTCAATTTTTTGTCGAAAGTTGGAAAAACACCTCGCCAAAGGCTCAAAGCCACTTGTTTCTTTCACCATGAAACACTAGAAGTATTTTTGCAATGAATATTTCAATTTTCTAACCACACGGCTGGAGGAGTGTTATGGAAATTTTGAAAACACATAAGAGAAATTCTAAGGCCTAAACAGGGATTGGGCCAGTACACCACATCAATTTAGACTGCATAGCAAAGGACCATAGGAAACACTAGAAAGCTGACCACAAACAATGCTTTTAAACATCCACATAGTGTCTCTTTACTAATCCTATGCAAGACAGGACAGAAAGAAAGTGCCATTAAATGGAGAGGGGAGGAGATATTATCAGTAAAACGGCATAGAATTACATCTGCGAGATTATTCTAGAACAGATCACTGGAGAAAAACTATTCTACCACAATTGCTTCAAGATACAATATAACAAGAAATCAAGCATAACCAACAATAAGAAATTGTTTCTGCATCATTCAATGTAAAGGGAGGACATGAAACTTGACATCCAACAAGAAATATGACAACCAATTCGTCACTAACTGTTGCGCTCTCTATAAAGATAAACTGAAGTCAAACTTGGGCAGCAGTCTCACATAGATCAACATGACATGGACAAATCATCGTCATCATCATCATCCGAACCTTATCCCAACTAATTGGGGTCGGCTACATGAATCTTGCTTTGCCATTCTGCTCTATCAAGGAACATACCCTCAGTAAGATTATATGTCACTATATCTTTTCTTACTACTTCCATCCATGTCTTTTTGGGCCTTCTCCTTGTCCTTTAAGAGCCCTTTACTTGAACCAAATTGCACCTCATAACCGGTGTTGTATTAGGTCTACATTGCATATGGTCAGCCCACCTAAGTCTACTTTCCCTCATCTTATCATCGTTGTTGCGGTGCGTCGCTTCCAGGGAAGGCCTTAGCTAACCTTTGCTCATTTCTCACTACACTTGGGAGCAGCATGCAGCTTACAGGGAATGCCCTAGCATGAGAATATAACATAGATTCAAAATTCCTGAAAAGATTTGGCAAAGTTTTACTCCGGTTGCCTACCGAACACAACCTTCCCCCGTTACCTCAGATTGGGACTGGCATAACCGGCTCGGGGCCAGCCAAGGCGGAGTTAATATGACATGAACAAATACAAACATAAATTCTCTGAGATTGCATATTGCCCTAAATAGATTATGTCATACACAACATAGGTTGAAGTAAAATGAAAATGAGTCAAGCAGCACAATGAGGATGCCAAGAGAAAATGTGCTTGAGTAATTCATTGCATCATACCATAACATCCTGCATTTAAAGAAGTCTGCAGGTATTGTGATTGCCATCCATACCATTTTCCACATTTTGGACATGATACAATGGCATTTGCATCCCACCACAAGAAAAAGAAATTTGTATATTATAGCGATACTTATGTCATTATACCATACTCCTATCTCCCAAACAAATTGCCTAGAGGCCCATAGAATTTATTTCCTTCATGTGCCAGCTAAAGGTTTGAGGATTATCTTTGATATCTTCCATAGTTTTAGGATTAGAGGTTGTGTGACAGGCATGAGGTGGCAAACAAAATAGTGTCAGCTTTAAGATGGAGGATATTAGTTTTTGGAGATTCTGATGAACTAACTTGGCCTGTTATATTGTAGTCCCCTTTGAATTATTAATAAGGTTGTGTTTGATTGGTAGAAGAGGCGGCTACCAATGCCGCCTCTTCCACCAACTTTCGAAACCCACGGTTTCCATGGGGTAGCATGGAAGTTGTGGCTCCAAAACAACGCTTACTTTTTAACAAACAAGGAATCACTAAAGTACTGGAAGCCTTAGCTCCCAGTAATCAAATGCGCCCTAGATATTATCTTTTAATGATATACAAAATTATATACATAAAAGTGGACACATGAAGAGAATTCCACAAGTATTCCAATACGCCACTGGAAGTAAACACTGTACAAAAAACATTCACTATGCACACAGTTGAGAAAACTCTACATCAAGGACCAAGGAGTATCTCATGATTGCCATCTATTCTCTCCCATTCTGCTCATACTTGGCTTTCAAACTAAATGAGAGCCACTTTCAAAACTTTGATTGGTTATCAAGGATAATCTTCCTATTAGTTTAGTAGGAAGCATTTACAAGATCCATAGCACAGGTGTTGGCATCTAGATTGAGGGAGGTTCTGGTTCATATTATCTATCTAGAATAGGGAGCTTTCATGAAAGGTTAGCAGATTTTGAATGGGGCTCTTATCATCCATGAGTATATTGAGTTATTGACTCATGATATAGGGATGGGGTGCCCAGGATCGTTGACATGGAGAAGGCTTATAATCATGTTGACAGAGGCTTCCTAGATTATTTGACGAGGAAAATGGAATTTAAGTAGAAATGCAGGAGGTTAATTTCCGCATATGTGATCCCCACCAGCGTGGTCTTCAGTGACGGTGAATGGGTCAATCAAATATTTCTTTCGAGCATCTAGAGGTCTTAGGCAAGGTGTTCCCTTATCACCTTCGTTGCTTATGAGAGTTGTTGATGTTTTCAGCAGGCTACTTCATAAAGCTTCGGAGCAATTTCTGGTTTTTGTACTGACCCGACATATATGCATGTAATACACATAAATATAAATGAAATACATGTAATTATTACTCTTTTATATCCTGACCTGGAGCAGACTTGACCCAATGGGTCTGGACTGGATCCAGTTGACCTAGGCCCGAACCAGGTCCAGGAAGGGTATGGGTCAAACTTAGACCAAGTTAGATGGGGTCGGGATCGGCATCCTGTTTACAGCCCTAATCAATGGGTGCACAAGTTGGTCCTCTGGAAGAGGATTAAGGATATGCTGATCTCGTGGGCTTTGCTTCAACCAGAATTTCGAGGTTTCAAGGCCATTGACTTGGGCAAAGGTTGTTTGGCCAGATTGAGTCCACCCTTGCTTTAACCATAGGCAGTTTGAGTTATTCCCATGGAGGGTGCTATGAAGCAAAATTTTGATGAATTAGAAGGGAGAATCTAGGACCAGCCCAGCAAGTACGGGTAGGAGTTTTAGGAATCGGGCTTTGGTCAAGACGGTACTAGCAGCTGGGTTTTCATAGCGCACTACGCCTCAAGTTCTATTCCTATGTAACCTTGTCAAAAAAAAAAACAAAAGAGTACGGGTAGAAGTTTGGAGATGAAGGTAGGAAGCTTAGAAGCTATCCGGGCCCACTGAGGGTATATAATGCTAAATGGGCGGAGATTTGTGCATTGCTTACAGGTCTACTAGTGGCCTCATAAAAAGTCCTCTATTCTGGAGGATAGCTATGCTATTTGGTGAGATTTCAACATATGTGACACTAAGAATATGACTTTTGTGCACATTCTTAGGGGGCTTAACTATGAGGCTGTCAAAGATGGGGTTCTTCGAGAACCACAATTTCAGTGTTGGAATCTTGAGAGGTTTTCTTGACATCTTTTGAGTTTTGTTTTTATGTTTTTTATATTCTTTATAGTTTTATTTTATTAATACAATTCTTTTGTTAATGATAAAAGAAAATCAATTGGCTCTTTGACAAAATACACATACACGGATGGCACGTGGGAGGATATTAAATGAGCCCAATGCAAGGAATAACATCATGCGAGAACCCAGTCAATGGAATTTCAGAAAATGTGTGAAGTACTTTAGGTTCAAGAAAAAAATGGTTTAATCATTTAAAGTATTCTGCTTTTCATTATTTTCATTATTCCATTCACAATTTACTTAGAGTCTAAAATGTTTAATTGTACTATCACTGCCTCCAACTTCATTAAGCTGAGAGCCCAAACACCTCATCACTTGGACAAGTAAACCTCAATCCAAACTTCATCCACCTTAAGAAGCGAAAACAATTTCTCCACCCCCATCATTCTCTTCAGTCCTCTATCACAGCTACCAAGGATTTGGTCAACATAAACTTAGGAAAGTCCAGGATCTCGACCTAAATATCTGGCCCCCTAGAAATAAAAACTCACCTTCCATACACCTAGAGCATGAGCAACTTTTTTTTGATAACTGTTAACTTTTGTATTGATAGAAGAGATAGGTACAAAATGGTAAAACTAAATCCAGGAGTAACTTAAGAACACGGAACTCCTAGTAAAAAATTAGGTCTTCCGACCCTATACAAAATAGGGTTATAAAATAATCCCCTTACACAGCATTCAGGAAATGTAAAAAACAAAGTAGAGAGAAAAATGGGGTTATAAAATTATCCCCTTACACAGAATTCGGGAAATGTACAACAAGAGTAGGGAGAGTAGATCAAAAAAAATCCCAAGCCAAGAAAGATGAGCGTGTTCTGCATCCGACCCGAATCCAACTGTGGTATGGCCTATTGTTCAACACGGGCCTTGGCTCCGTCCTTGGTCAGCAGGTCCGCGAACCCATTCAACGTCCACAAGATATGTGTCCATAAGACGGGCGTATCCCTACAAAGATGCTGAATCTCATCACAAATAGACCCAAGATACCAAGGGGGGGGAGTAGCTGTCCTAGATGCCCAAGAGATAATGTTTCTAGCGCCTCCCTCCACTAATAGTAATTGTCCCCAAGATCGGTCAAAATTTTGTATGCCTCTAAGGAGAGCCATTGATTCAG